TGCCGAAATTATTCGAACCTAATTCATATAATTTATGTGTATTCATTGAATTTAATGAACAACATTAAGTCAAATTGAATTGTATTCATTAAATTTTCAGCAACAATTTTAAAGATTAAACTATCATAATATAGTGATATTTCAGACAAGAAATGAATTTTTTCACACTCAAATAACTAGGGTACTCGGCAAAGGCCTCGATGAATATCAAACAACTGTTATTATGGAATCTATTCGCATATTTCTATTCCAAGTTTGGGTTCTTCATCGGGATTACTTTGGAATCAATGAATTTGGAATACAGAATTAATTCAGTTAGAAATATATATATATATATATATATATATATATATATATATATATATATATATATATATATATATATATATATATATATATTATATATATATATATATATATATATATATATATATATATATATATATATATATATATATATATATATATATATATATATATATATATATATATATATATATATATATATATATATATATATATATATATATATATATATATATATATATATCCGATATTTATTATATCCGCATTATATTATATATATATATATATATATATATATATATATATATATATATATATATATATATATATATATATATATATATATATATATATATATATATATATATATATATATATATATATATATATATATATATATATATATATATATATATATATATATATATATATATTTATTATACGATGGTCCGCTTGATGAATGAAACAGTCAAATTTCAATTCTGACGCTGAGTGATTAGTTGTGTTTTTTCTTTTGTTTCCTCCGAATAAAACGAATCGGTCTTCAACTGTACAGTACCGAATAAACGTTGATATAATTGGCAACGCGTACAGAAGAATGATTCCAGATCAAAGATTTGAATGTGCTATACGATTAATGCTATATTTATTGATTAATGTCCGAGGGAATATTAATTTGTAAAATTGATTTTATAACTGTGTTATTGTTTAATGTCGAAATGTGAAATCATGTGAAATCATCTCACGTTCTGTAAGTTTATTTTATTTTAAGGGTTTTTTTTAAAATGTATTTACCTCACATACCTTGTAGCAACCCTGATGAAGCAATAAATTGTTGCGAAAGGTTGGTAAGGAATACAGAGTGGTTCAGTGAAAGTATTGGTCGAATTCCCCTTAAAAACACATTTACATATATATATATATATATATATATATATATATATATATATATATATATATATATATATTTATATATAATCATATATTCAGGTATGCCGAGTACCTAATAAAAATGTCAAATTATCCTTTTTCTGGACAATGGGAATTCCCAAAGTATTTATATTGTTTTTTTGAGATAGAAATGAGCATTAAAAAAAGCGAAAATTTGTGTTAATTAAGTGGATATTATTCAATCTTTCCTATATATGACTACTTAAAGTGGGCTTGAATCGAGGTTGAATATAAGCAATAATATTTGGACCGGTTTTACAATTAGATTATTTGAAGCAAAGAAGTCGAAAACAAAACAGAGAAATATTCAGATGTAATAATTGAAACTTGTCAGCGATATTTTACATCGATGACATTTTGAAATACATAGATCATAAGGCAAGTGTAGATACACTTTGGTCAATTCATTTGAAATTTGGAAATATTGAAAATTAGGATTCCCTAAGAGTTTCCAATAATTTCCATGTTTTTTTCTTCTTCGAAATGTATTTCGTTGTTAAGACATATGTACATGCATTTTTCCACATATCTTCATCAATTAGTTTTCCTTCAGGACAATTTTTCAACAGAGTCACAGAAACGCTTTAAAAAGTCTTTTGTCCAAACAAAATGAGGCACATGAATAGTCATTAATCGATTGGGCCGATACTTGATGAAAATCTAAATACATAATTTAAATAAAACTAGTAGTTTTCGATTTTCACTATAATTAATTCAAAACATAAGAATATCGTTTCGCCAACACAGTGACTTCATCAGATGTTGATAATTAACCGTTTATTATTATCATCTGATGAAGCCACTGTGTTGGCGAAGCAATATTATTATGGTTCAAATTAATCATAGTGAAAAACAGAAAACTACTTAGTTTTATTTAAATTATAAATCAATAATTTTTGTGTTTACAACTGATTTGTTTCTATTAAGCTCGCAGTCCTAGGATTTGGGAACCATCCTGATTCAGATTAGCAGGCTTTGGTTTCATTAGGGTCGGCAAGAAGGACGAGGTTTAAGATCGCACCTACAACGTATGTTAACAGCAATTTATGAAATTACAATGTTCTAAAAATTGTCAAGAAAACGGTATGTGTTACTGAGCTCAGATGTACCCAGATTTGAAATGAATAAACATCTGTTCAGTTGCAACTTTCTGATTCTTTTCTCTTACCGAAACATAATTAAATCTAAGAGTTATCTATGTTAGTCGATATTATAAAGGCTTCTTCTTGTTCTTCGCATTTTCTCTGTGCAGAGAAGTCGTGATTTAACTCTTCTTCGAGGAACAATTGAGTTTATTACTTCGCCCCATTTGATTCTATGGTCGTCATTATATGCTTCTTGGTCTTAAATATCATTCATTTGTGTCAAAAGTTTCGATTAAAGGTGTAACCAAGATTTCGTTTGGAACTTCTATATTTCTTCTTACATGCGAGCACATTGAATTTGGGGTTAGGTGATTAACAGTTAATTGAAGGTTTCCTTTATTTCTTGAAGTACAGAGACGTTTGTTGTTCTGGCACTCCAGGATATTCTCAAGACACTACTCCCCAACACACACATCAATTATAGGAAGAGCAGATATCTAGAAGGCTAACGTTTCTGCCCCAATAGAGTAGTGGTACTAGAAATGTACGATTCGTCTTTGGTGATTATAATGATGGCTATGTTTTGCCAGGTTTTGTGTTCAAGCAATACGGCATATGCGAGAAGATCCTTTTCAGTTTATGATTGAAATTCAGGTATATGCACTGCCTCATATGACGAATTATGTGGATGTTTGGTTGGTTGATATCGGCCGATCACATTTTGATTTTCTCTCAGCTGATTTTCACGTCAAACCTTTCACTCTATTTTTTTTACTCTTTTTTACACTAATATGAATAAATGATAGGGTGTACCCCGATGCAAATATCAATCATGTGAGTTTTTGTGATTAATTTTCTCATATTGATTATAAGGTCGCATAAAGTCTGAACCGAGAATTAATAATTGTAAAACACAAAATTTCTGCCCCTAGTTGAATGTCTAAACTACAACAATTAGAGGTTTCAATGCAATGTAGATGTCTTCAACTGATATCAAATTCTTCAATATCTGCCAATAAAACGCATGACTTCGTAATTAATTAACATGATTCAGTCAAAAGGATTTTGATATTCACCTCCGAACGAGGTACTTCGTTTCTATAAGGAAAAAGAAGGTTGGACGTTGTTAGCACTTTAATGTCACGATACTATCTGAGACCGATTATATTAACGATGACATTTCGAACTTTATCCGCATTGAAAGTAACTGACCATAATATTGTAATTCTCGATATTCTGTCATAGTTATAATTGTAGAAGAATATAAACACATTAACTATTTAACTCTCACTGATTTACAATGAAATAACATGAATGAATTTTAGTACGGTATAATATCAAAATACAAGGTGAGTCTGAATACCACTGACACAACTGATGTATTTATGTGCATCAGTTTCTATTGTTTAACATCATGAAATTTATATATATATATATATATATATATATATATATATATATATATATATATATATATATATATATATATATATTCAAATATTCTGTTTTTACCTGTCTAATTCATTCAATATATCGAACATTAATTTTACATTACGCCATTACATTTCTAACTGAGTAAGAAATGTAACGCCTTTCATCGAACGTTCTGCTGATGAAGATGGAAACACCATCGAAACGTCCACTGTATTGTTTAGTTCGTTTAATCGTTTAATTAAAATTCGAATTCTAATATATTAATTATACCTGTAAACCAAAATATATATATATATATATATATATATATATATATATATATATATATATATATATATTATATAAATGAAAATGAAAATTGTCGGCATATCCCGCAGATTGGTAGCAATCGTTGACACGTGTTTCAACTTATTGGCTCTCCTCACAATGAGAGAACAAACGCGGTAGCCTGAAATGTTGCGACTTCCTTCAGAGATTGTTTGTATTTGTTAGTTTTTTTTTGTGTTTCCACCTCCAGGTTCGTACAACTAGAACTTGGCTACATCGTTCTGAGGAGAGCCAATAAGCTCGAAACACGTGTCAACGGCTGCTACCAATCTGCGGGATATGCCGACAATTTTCATTTTCATTCAAATTTGCTTCTATTAATACATATTGTTCAACGTCTCAGCTTAAAGTATCCTTGGAGGATAAATCGTCACCTCACGGGCAAAGCAGTTTTCAAATCTACCAATCCAGTGAGAACAAACGCGGTAGCCTGAAATGTTGCCACTTCCTTGAAAGGTTGTTACAAACAACCTTCCTTAGATTTTTTGTGTTTCCACCTCCAGGTTCGAACAACTAGAACTTGGCTACGCCGTTCTGAGGGGAGCAAATAAGCTCGAAACACGTGTCAACGGCTGCTACCAATCTGTGGGATCTGCCGACAATTTTTATATATACATTTATATATCATATATATACATCCAATTACATAGAATAAATTACAGAAAAAATTACAATTTACAAAAAATTGCAAAATTGTACACAAATAATAATAAATAAGAAAAGAAATTAAAACAAAGAAAATAACAAAAATAGGGGGTATAAGCTAATATATACAACGAAAAAATTAATTCAAAATAAATTGAAATAGTATTGAACAATAACCAGATAACTAAAAACAAAAATGAAATATTGTCTATTACAAAGTTACGTATGGTCAGCAGAATTAAAATAATTTTTTGGAGGAGCTGGGATTTGAAACCCAGAACTTTCTGCATGCGAAGCAGACACTCTACCACTGAGTTACACCCCCTATAAAATTTGCTTCTATTATTACATATTGTTCAACGCCTCATCTTAAAGTATCCTTGGAGGATAAATCGTCACCTCACGGGCAAAGCAGTTTTCAAATCTACCAATCCGGTGAGAACAAACGCGGTAGCCTGAAATGTTGCGACTTCCTTGAGAGGTTGTTACAAACAACCTTTCTTAGATTTTTTGTGTTTCCATCTCCACATTTCCTTTGCAGGTGTGTTCTTTTGTTGTGGATTCCATCTCCAGGTTCGTACACCTTGAAATTGGCTACGCTGTTCTGAGGAGAGCCAATAAGCTCAAAACACGTGTCAACGGCTGCTTCCAATTGAGTTGCGGGCTATACCGATAATTGTGTTTTTGTCATATATATATATATATATATATATATATATATATATATATATATATATATATATATATATATATATATATATATATATATGAGAAAATGAATAGGACTACTAGAACATTCATTCGCAAAATTCAAATTAATCGAAAGAAACTTTAGTAGAGCACAATGTGAATGTGTACGATGTGATGCACCCTTATCCTTCAAGGGATAAATTTAAATTTTATTTATGATTGAAATCGACGCCACACCTGATGAAAGCGCGGGACAGCTGTTTCGTTCTGCAAGGAACTAGTCCATCAAAAGGAGGCAACGTTTTAAATCCCCGAGCATCTTCTGGTAACTCCAAGTGGAATACCGTCAAGTAATGAATACTTCACAATTCCATATATAGAAATCAATAGAAAACATCTCTCAGATCATAGACACACTAAGCATCGAACGTACACAGCTCTTCTATACCCGTAGGTATTTACTTAATTACGTCTATTTGACAAATGTCATCATATGATGTTTTCAAATGTCAATCGGTTGCGTTAGTAGTACGCTCGCGATTTTTCCCGTATTTTAGGGGACGATTTGGCGATATTTTTAAGGAAATGAATTTTTTGTGCTAATGACACTGAATGAAATATTCAAGAAAATGAATACTAGAACATCTCCTCGAAAAACTCAAATTATTCGAAAAAGAATTTAATTTTTTATTTCTTTTGACTAATTCGAAATTTTCGAATGGATGTTTCTAGTATTCATTTTCTTGAATATTTTATTCAGTGCCATTAGCACGAAAACTTGAAGTGCTGGACAATAATGAATTTTTTCAAAGACTATCGAACTTTCATTGTATGAAATTTCTAGAAATCGAAATCTGAAACAAACGATTAAAAATCTGAAGTAAGAAAAAACAAAGGTGCGTACCATGAAGACATGAGAAACTATGAAGTTTTTACATTTAGACACATACAATAATATGCATGTTCAGTATAAAAATAATACTTGAAAAATTAAAGAAATTATCGTTGAAATAGATCAAATTATTTGAAAATGAACAAGCAAGCTGTCAGATGAAAGTATACGTTTTAAATAAAGCATTTTTTGCAGTAATTCATTCTCATTTTAATTGTAGAAATGACGTAATGAATTATTTTCACTGAACTCTGGGATAATAATATTTCTAGCATTCAACAATGATTTTATTTATGTCTCATTGCCCATTCTACATGCGAATCCGATACCTATCGATGATAATTACTTTTATGAGTGCATTAGCAGCACATGTCTCCGCCTGCTGGATAAGTCAACGTTTGTTATGACGGGTAAGATCGATTTGTATTATTGACTGAAGATCAAAGTTGTGCATTCAATTATTTCATTCTAATTATAACCATGACTTGGTCGATTTAAATGCATTCAATTCACACTGCGCTATCGAGAAACCTATTTAACAATGTTTTGAACAATGTTGATCTGAATTCGGAAACGCAAGGCTCTCAGAGAATGCGATTAATAGAAATTAATTTCGATTTTTCGAATCACTATTTCAATTCTTGAATAATTATGAAAGTTGCAGTTTGTATTTCACAACTAATTTCGCCTATTATGGCATTATCATAATGATATAAGGTCATAGTATGGATTGATAATGCCATAATTGGTGAATCTTGTTGTACAATATATACTCCAATAGTTTTGAGACGTCTTTCATTTATTAATTATTCAAGATTGAGGCTGAACTATCACAAAGTTGAGGATTCATCTTTCAATTTTAGGAATATTCTAATTTTTTATTCAGTATTTAATTATTTTACCATAATGTTAACATAAGAGTGAATGGCTTTACTATATTCAACATCATACAAGTAAATTCAAGGAAAGCTTTGCATACGTTGCACCGAATATTTTGAATAGGTGGATTGGTTTCCTTTCGTTGCCGTTGAGTTGTCACTGTTACATCGGTGATCTCATGATGTCACTTTCTTTTTATGTTTTTCTTTGTTTCAATGTTTTACTTGATGTATGATATGTTGGGTGTAAATTTCTTCCTTTTTATTCTTATAACTATGTATGTGTTTTCAGGTAGAGTGGAAGATCGGCAAAGCTGAACTCCTACGTTTGTGTAATATGGATGTATATACACAATAAAAATTATGATAATTATTATTAATACATTGTGTCGTTTGAGTACTAACAAATTATCATATTCAATATTATTATTATTACTATAACGATTGTTCCCCATGAGGAGAGCGATTGAACTTGAGTTCGCATTTCATAGGAGTTATGCTTCATCTTCGTTGCTTCCCAAAAACGCATCATCATCTCGGAATGCTCTTTCTTACGTTCATCTCTCCATTTTATTCCAGATTGGCGATTTGACTTTTGCATAAACTTCATAAGTGCGATTTTATAGCGACACTCAGTGCGATCTTCGAAATTTTTTATGATTTTCAGTTGTAGATCTTTTTGGACTCTTGCAGCCACTCTGTTCTGCATTCACTCTCTATAATTATATCGAGTAGTTTCTTTGGTATTCTGGACTGTTTCATTCTGTAGACATGTGCATAGAACTTTGCTCGTCGTTTTCCGTTATCATATTTGTCTTTCTTTTGATATAGTTCATTCTGGGGTCTTTTCATCCAAATGCCGTTTCTATTGATTGGACCGTAAATCTTTAACTAATAATTTTAATAATTCTTATTTTTAATATTTAATAATAATTAATTGATAATATTAAAAATTGAATGATTCCGCCAATAACCATTATTTCAGATGTGTAGATATTATGAATGTTGAGAAACAAGTAAAAAAACAAAAAAAAAGCATAAGCGAATATATACAACAAAAAAATTAAATTAAAATAAATTGAAATCGTATTGAACAATAACCAGATAACTGAAAATTGATCACAAAATTACATAATAATTTTCGATTAAAATGAAGAATAAAACTACAGTTTCAAATCTCATTTTGAGTTGGGAAAATATAGTAGTCATTTATCTAAAAGCAGTTAATACCTAAAACTCATCTTCTTATTGTTTACATAATACAATCTTATTCTTATTCTTCTCAACATTTTCTGAGAATATATTGAATAATGAATCTGAAAAAACAGATATTCGGTTTTGGCACAATGAATACGAAGAAAATAAAATAGTCTATCTAAAAAGCAACAAAATTGAAAATAGAAAGTGAAAATATTTGTTTGAAATACATTAATTTTGAAAGGCACTAATCGATTGGGCCGATACTTGATGAAAATTCAACAACATAATTTGAATAAAACTAAAGGTTTGTAATTTTAATTTAGTTCAGTCAAACATAACAATATTGTTTTGCCAACACAGTGGATTCATCATATGCAGATGACAAACATATAACAGATAATCAAATGATATCCACTGTGTTGGCGATAGAATATTGTTATATTTGACTGAATTAAAGTTAAAATCACAAACTACTCAGTTTTATTCAAATTAATTCTCAAAGGATTGAATAAACAAGAATCCACCGAATAAACTAGTCGCTGAGCAAAAAGATCACCGTTCCTGATATAAGCAAGTTAGAGAATTTCTAGTGATAATAAAACAATTATTAATAAATTCAATAGACGATGAATCTACTCTGTGATAGTTCATATTTAAATGAGAGGTAATAATAAAAACTTGTCTAAAAATCACTGACTGAACAATTCTTTATTCGACTAGTTTCGCCTTTTACAGCATTATCATAATACTGTAAAAGACGCTGTAAAACTAGTCGAATAAAAAATTGTTCAAAAAAATTGTTCAGTTGGTGATTTTTAGACAAGTTTTTATTATTACCTCTCATTTAAATAAAACAATTGTTAAACAAAGATTTACACATATATTGATTCTAAATATTTCAATTTACTTGTTACTGCTATTTGTGAATATTTCATAAATAACTCCTTGTTGAAAAAGGATGGTGATTTTCAAGGCAATGATTCCTTTAATCTTTTTCCAACGATCTACCAGAAGCATAAATATTTCCATCATTCAGGCCAAATCACGTTGAAAACTCCTGGACAATCAAATTTCGAAATAACAGCCTTCGCGTTATATAAAATCCTGATACTTCCATAGCTGTGATGATAAACGAAGTGATAATATAAACGTTCGTTTTCAATTATAATAAATGACCACGTAGTAACGACCGAATTCATCAATAATGTTTAATGATATGTTTCCATGATGTTTCTTTATTGTGTTTTTTGAGATATTTTTTTTGATATTATGAACAATCTTCCAAGTGACATTTCGTTATATCGCAACTGTGAAGATGAGATTTCTTCAGGAGTCAATTAGACCACTCATTTTTTTTTCTATATTTTTGCCTATTATGGTGAAAAACTTCAAAACTTACAATGTAACATTAAGTTACATTGAAACTGCATCGAAGATAGTTTTCTTCAGGGGTAAATTCAACTTGTGAACTAGATATTTCAGACAACTTTCTGTTTCAAATTTACTTCTATCTCTGGTTGATAATTGTAATTGAATTTTTTTAAAACATTTATTGAAATACAAAACTAATACATCGTATTAATTATAATAATCTCATTAACAGACTTGAAAGCACTGGTATCAGAGACATAATGTTAACACCTATAAAAAAAAAAGTGAAAAGCC